GCATGTCGAAAATTCGCCCTGAAAACTGGCCGGCCTAAGGCCTCGAAAATCCGTCCTGCGAACTCGACGGCCTAAGGCTCTTCGAAGATTCGTCCTGCGAAAACGCCGGCCTAAGGCAGATCGAAAATTCGTCCTCGGATGACGCCGGCCTGAGGCAAGTCGAAGGGAGCAAAAATTCAGAATGGAGATTCGGTTAATGATAATGATGTTTTTCAAGCTTGAACAAGAATGTGAACAGTAAATGTAATACTACTTCAAATGATTAAAAATCATATTCTTCAAGCGGGACAAACTCCCCAAGCACCGCGCGCAAGGTCTCGCGCGTCACAATTTTTCCTGCAATAGAGTATTGCTTACGCCACAAACGAATACAATGGCGCGCTGCGGGGCCTAGAGCGTTACGGGCCTTTGCACCGTGCATTAATCTAGTCAAAAGTTCGCGCGCTCCAGGCGCGTCTAAAGTCGGAGGGGCAGGCCCAGCGGGACCCACCACCTCCTCCTGCTGCTCCTCTTGGTCACTGGGCATTGTCGCTAAAAGCGTAGTGGCAGTACGGTTGCTGCTTGCAGCAGAGGAAGGGGCAGCTTGACCACTATCTGAAGAAGATGAATTAGTTGTTAACTCATCTGAACTGCCATCATCGTCTTCAGGCTGTGCTACAACACGCCAATTGGCCAAAAGTTCATGGTGACTCGGGTCCCAAGAATATTTAGGGATAATGTACTCACCTACTCCTTCGATGCTAACTGGTCCGACGCCTTCCTGACCGAGGAGAATCTGGAGCCCTGATTTTGCTGCGATTCTATTTTGGCTCCCTTGGTAATCATTGAGCCAGCGACCCCAAGCCAGAGAAGCAATTTTTACAATGTGCAAACGTTTAGCTGAGGCCGTCATCTGGTACCAGTCCTGACGCGCGGCTCGAGACACCAGTTCTTCATCCTGAATCTGGGACATCAATTCTTTAATGATTGCTCCGATGCCTCGATCGATTGTCTGCCAAATGTGAGTGCTCGAACCAGGTTCTCCTAAATGTGCTGTCGTTTGCATCTTCTTTAATTTATCACGCCAAGTTGTGGTAAAACTCGCATCCAAGTTATCTGTAATTAACAGTTTTGCCGATTTTTGATCATCGAGACTCATTGCTTCAAGATGCGGCTTCCAAACGTACTCCAACCACTCATCGGCCATCTTTCTGTCAAACCAAGCCTTTTTCTGAAACCGCACGATTACACTTGAAGAGTATTTTGCCTTCTCTGATTGACTTATTTGACCTTGCCCGCGAAACAAAATCATTAACTTAGGCTGGGCTTTCGAAGCATCTCCGGAAACGCATATCTGCAAAGTACAGAATCGTTTTTCTGTTCCTGCTCCTGCTCCCTGAATACGCGGGTGCTTCTCGTGTTTGAAAAACCAACTTTTCCCACGAGTCTGCAAGTCGATCTGGAGAGGAACTTGATCGGCCGAATACCGAAGATGTAAAGGATAATATCCTGTCTCATCATTCCAATGAGGGTCTTCTACGTGATCCAAACTCGGGTGCAAACTGATCACATACCGTAACTTGGTTAGATACAAGTCCATCACTTTAGGTGCTTCTTCCAAACTGATTGCCCGCTTGTTCTTGTGACATTTGAACACCATGTTATTTCTTAACCACAGCTTGCTCCAAGACTTTGCGGGCTTCCATGGCAACCCAGTGCGTCGAATTTTCGGCCAAGAGCTTCCGGATTGCGAATCGATTATATTATAGATTGCGGTCGATTCTCTGAGAACAGCACGCCATGTGATTTTACGACCATCTTTACGCATCTTCTTAATCCGTTTCTTTAACTTCTGATGCAGCAGCCGATGACTCTCTGTGGTAAAACTCTTCCTATGATCGGTGTAGAAATCTTTAGTTGCTCGTTTTTTCACCATTTCAATGATCTTAGCCTTCTCTTTCGGCTGCTTCCAAGACCACAATGTCATGTACTGCACATCTGTTCCAGCGGCCGTTCCATTTGGATTCCGTGTATCTGACTTATGCCGGAACGCCATTGCATCTTCATGTTTATCGAGAAAACGAAGTTTTTCTTCGTACGTGTACCTCTTTCGCTGCTCTGCACCTCTCCTCTTCTCAATACGAACCACTTCAACTTCATCTGTCTCTTTTTTGTCATGCTTTACTTCTTCTTCTTCAGGGAAATCTTCGGGCGCATTATCGTGAGTCACATTCTGAAGAAGTAGCTGACCTGTGGCCGAACCAGGCATTGAATAATTCTGAGCAGGGTGCCGATGTCTGATGTGAGAAGCCAATGCTGCACCACTGCCGAATGTTTCATGACAAATCTTACATTCATACCGCTCGCCCATAGAAGATGAAGATGCTGATCCCGTAAAGCCGAAATTCAATAGACTTTGCTGCATAGGTCTCTTTGTATTTCCCAAACCTCCATTATGATCCACCATTTGAATTTCAATCTCTTCTGCAAAACTCGTATCGGGAGGAGTGGCTGTTCCTGGATATTCAAATCCCACGTCTGCAAAAGTAGTCTCTGGAAGATTGCATTCATCATCTGAACTTATCTGAATGACACCTTGAATATTCTGATGCGACGAGGATGCACCAGAGGGTTCCTTTTCCGAACTCTTTTGCAAATGACCCTTACGACCTCCGTAAACCAAACGAATTGCATTCAATTGAAAGAACAAATAAAAGCAAATCCATGAAGGCATCATATTGCTGCACGTAATCTCACAAATATGTGAACACGTCTGAAGAGGAAAGCGGTAGCTTACCAGCACGGGGAATGCGAATCACCTCTGAGGCTCAATGACTACGGAATCACATAAGAGAACACGGACAACTGAGACTTCAATCTCTTACTCCTGGAGAACAAAGAACTCAAGCAATCTGCGCTTCAATGCTCAATGAATCAAGAACTATTAAAACAAAGAAATGATAATGACCAGACCACAGATCACAGCATCACGGGAACAGCGAATCAGGACAACACGTGTTCACGAGCACTGAGACTGCAATATCTTTCTCCTGGACCGTGAACCTCTCGTTTAATGTGTTTTTCCGTTTTTTTAGACATGCTGGCCCTATAAAGGCTGGAAAGCCATAAAAACACGAAGTGATCAGGGCACGGGGCCACAACACTACGGGAACAACGAATCAGGACAACAGGGGTTCACGACAACTGAGACTCTAATATCTTCCTTCTGGACCGCGAATCTCTGTTTCAATGTGTGTTTGCGTTTTTTTTTAGACACGCTACCAATATGAAGGCCAGAAGGCCACAAGGAGACAGAATAATCGAGCCATGTGACTACATGACTAACGAATCAGGACAACACAAGATCACGAGAACTAAAACTCTGATATGATTCTCTCGGACTGCGAAACTCTCGTTTAATGTGTGTTTTGCGTTTTTTTAGACACGCTACCAATATGAAGTCTAGAAGGCCACAATGACACGAAACTCTAATATCTTTCTCTTGAATCGCGAACCTTTCGTTTAATGTCTTTTTGCGTTTTTTAACAGACACCAAATAATCAAGCCAGGGGACCACAGAGTCAGACGACACGCTGTCGGGACAACCTCGCGAGCCGTTGGCGCGCAAGACCAAACCGTTCGGACAACCCCGCGGGCTTCGAGCGAGGCGCAGCCGCGCTCAGGCGGAAGGCAGCGCGAAACCCAGCTCTGCCGCGCCACGGGACCACAGGACCACGGGAACAACGAATCATGCGGCGCCTCGCGGCTGCCGCTAAGGGGGGCGGCGGGCATGTTATGGCAAAGCCGGGAGGGAGGAGGGAAAGAGTAGAGAAAGCAAGCAAGAGAGAAAGACAAAAGAAGATCTGCTTCCTCCTCCTTGCTCCTCCTTATAAGCTGCTGCCACTGCTGCTGCCGCTGCCCGGTAATTACTGTCAATTCCGGTATAAATATAAATAAAAATACGGCCGATAAACCAACGATTACCGCCGAAAAATAACTCCGGTATCATTACAAAACCAACGATCTATAATATTATATCCGGTATAAACCAACATGAATATATACGGGAGGAACGGAACGGAACGGGACGGGAACGGAAGGAACGATTCAAGCATACCAAAAGCAACCCATTCCGGTTCCGACGGCGATGCACAATGTCAATCAATTGAAATGCACATGATGCCAATCAATTCAAATGCTCAGATGCCCCCCTCCTCCTCCGCCTCCTCCTCCTCCTCCGCCTCCTGCTCAGATGCTCTCCTCCTCCGCCTCCTCCTCCTTCTTCTTGTTTTGTTTCGGCGTCTATCTTACATACTTAAGAAAATCTCAATAGTCTACCCTGGAACTCAGATTTTCTTAAATAGGGTTAAGAAAATCCAGACCCTGGCTCCGAAGTTGCTTTTTCTTAATTATCCTGTAGGGTGTACGCAGTCAGCTTACGCGCCAATGTCGATGAAGACGAAAACGATTTGCTTCGTCGCTCACCTGAGGGCCCAGTCAACGGAACTTGAAGGCGTCGGAGCAGCAGGGCGAAATCGGCATAAGAGGGGTCTGAAAAGTACTCGGAAATGTCGCCCTTCTTGGCGCACCCGCTGTCAGGGTGAGCCAGCCCCCGTCCCTGGTGGTTTTCGTGCCTTGGGCCAGCCGTTCGGGACAATCCGGGCAACCCCAGAACGCTCTCGGCGAGGCACAATTGCTGTGGAGAGCATCCCGATGCTGGAAAACTGCGGAGAATCGACGGGAGCGCCCGAAAACTGCGAACCTCGACTCCGAACCTCGACCCTCGGACTTCCGAAAATCTACGCCTGTGAGGTTTTGCTTTCCTCCGAAGCTCCCGCGCCGCGCAGAACTGCACCCCTCCCCCAGGACCAGCTCTTCATCCCGAGTCGTTCTCGGGGCCCGCTGACGGCCGCTGGAAGCAGAAAGCTGCTGAAAACAACCTGTCGTGATGTTCGACGACGAGGGGAGGTGGCGGGGGTCTCCCAAAGTCTACGCCTGAGCGGTCGTATTTTTCCTCCGAGGCTTCCGCGCCGCGCATGACTGCACCGCCCGCTGCAGGTGCTCGGTGAGGTCGGCGTCCAGCGCCTGGAGCACGGGCGGCAGCCGCGGCGTCACCTCGCACCGTCAAGATGTGCCCACGTCCACCGTTGAGGAGTCGTGTCCTGAGCCCTCCTCCTCCTCCTCCTCCTCCTCCTCCTCCTCCTCCTCCTCTTCCTCCTCCTCCTCCTCCTCCTCCTCCTCCTCCTCCTCCTCCTCCCTTTCCTCCTTCCTTTCCTCCTCCCTTTCTTCCTCCTCCTCCTCCTCCTCCTCCTCCTCGTCCTCGTCCTCCTCCTCCACTCTCCCGACTTCCGGGTCTGGCAGTTGTTCAGATCCACCCCTCCCGAGGTGCCCAGTGGCGGCGAGCGGGCCGGGGGACGAGAGAAGGAGAGGGCCTCCTCAGACGACGGCGGGGCTTCTCGGAAGCGCTCGGGCCCTCCGAAAGGTCGTCCGTGCCTTCGGGGAAGGCCCAGCAACCTCCTCGGAAGGCGGGGGGGTGTCCGAGCCTCCTGAGCAGGCCCGCCCCTTTTCGCTTCCCGCCTGGACTCGGAGCCGAGCCCAGCCACGACGCCAGCGCGGCGGATGTGGATCGATACTTCCTGGGCCCGAAGACAAAGACGCCACCCCACCAGCGACCCCGCGATGTTGAAGGTTTAGTTACTTGCCCACCGACGACCACCCACGACCCACCTACCACATCACCCCACCTACGACACAGCTGGCACCCAGCTACGACCTGCGATGTTGAAGGTTTAGGCACTTGCCCACCTACGACCACCTAGGACCCACCTACCACATCACCTCACCTACGACCGAGCTACGACCCAGCGGGTCGTAGCTGGGGTGGTGTCGTGTGGCTCGTGGTCGGATTTGTGCGCGGCAAGCGCCTCGCCGCCCTCACCGCCGCCTTCGCCGAGCTGCGCGAGAGGCGCAAGGACGGCGGCGTCGATCTCCTCGCGGCGGGGGGGGGCAGAAAAAAAAACGACTTGGACGCCCGAAGGATTTCCTCCCCCCCATGACAGGTTCGGCTACGCAGTCGTGAACTCTGCAAGCTACTTCAACCGCCGTGCCACGAGGCGTCCCAGTCATGCGGACGAGCTGTCTGACAAACGACGGCGTATGTAGACCGAGCGGCGGCGAGATCTGGACGCCCGAAGGAGCAACGAAAAGAATGGGCACGATGCCTCACACCAGATCTTGTCCGACCCCATACAGCGGCCGCCCTTGGGCAGGCGGCCTTCCGTCTCGAACTGGCCACGTCCGCGGCGACACTCCGACGGCGGGCCCCGCTCCGAAAGAGCAGGAGATCCTGTCGGGCTTCGTGCCCACTCTTCTCCGTTCCGATCTCGATCGTCCCGACCCGAAATCCGGGCGTCGCCGCGTTTATGTTCCCAGACGTGGTCGCGTCGATCAAAACTACTCACTGCGCGCAGCTCCCCATATGTGCATCTCATGTTTTTATGTCATGCCATAGTGAGCGTCTGTTCATGAGCGCTTGACTACAATAGCGCGTCCACATGGGCGACAGAGCCGACGGAGACGAGTGAATCCGAATGCGAGTGAGTATGAGTCAGAATGAGTTTGAGTATGACTGAAGATGAACCTCCCATTCACTCCCCTTCCTCAGCTGCCAGGCCGTGCCCTCCTCAGCCTGTGGTAATGTGCATCTGTTTCAGGGTAGTTGGCAGTGGGATCTGTAAAACGAGCGCTGAGCCACACAAGGCCATATGTGCATATCATGTTGTAGGATAGTGCCACGGCGAGCACTTGTCCATGATAGTTGTTTGCTCCACGAGCGCGTCCATGTGAGCGGCGAGCACGACCCGGAGCACGACCCAAGGGACCAGCACGCCTCAACTCATTCCTCCGTGCGTCCCAGAGGGTACGTGCCAGAGCACGACCCAAGGGACCAGCACGCCTCGACTCCTTCCCCCGTGCGTCCCAGAGGGTACGTGCCGGAACACGACGGAAACAGCACGCCTCGACTCCTTCCTCCGTGCGTCCCAAAGGGGTACGTGCCAGAGCACGACCCAAGGGACCAGCACGCCTCGACTCCTTCCTCCGTGCGTCCCAGAAGGTACGCGCCGGAGCACGACCCAAAGAAGCAGCACGACTCATCTCCTTCCTCGCCGCATGAAAACGAGCAAACCGCCTGAGATATCCCCGCAAAATGGCCGCGAACGGGCCCGTGTCCTACCCCGTGGCGGCTCTCCTTAGGGATGCTGAAACCAGCGCCCCGCCTGAGATATCATCAAAACCTGTTTTGAAAGCAAAAGATATTGGGCATGAGAGCGAGCACACCGCCTGAGACATCCCCACGAACTGGCTGCGAACGGGCCCGTGTCCAACCCCCTGGCGGCTCCCCGTAGGGGTGCTGAAACCAGCGCCCCGCCTGAGACATCCTCAACATCTACTCTAAAAGCAAAGGATGTTGGGCATGAAAACGAGCAAACCGCCTGAGACATCCCACAAACTGGCCGCGAACGGGCCCGTGAAAACACCCCTGGCGGCTCCCCTCAGGGGTGCTGAAACCAGCGCCCCGCCTGAGACATCCTCAGAATCTGCTCTGAAAGCAAAGGATGTTGGGCATGAGAACGGACAAACCGCCTGAGACATCCCCACAAACTGGCCGCGAACGGTCCCGTGAAAATACCCTCTGGCGGCTCCCCTTGTCCCGCCTGAGGCATCCTCAAAATCTGCGCTGAAAGCCAAGGAGGTTGGGCATGAAAACGAGCAAACCGCCTGAGACATCCTCACGAACTGGCCGCGAACGGGCCCGTGAAAACACCCCTGGCGGCTCCCCTTAGGGGTGCTGAAACCAGCGCCCCGCCTGAGACATCCTCAAAATCTGCTCTGAAAGCAAAGGATGTTGGGCATGAAAACGAACAAACCGCTTGAGACATCCCCACAAACTGGCCGCGAACGGGCCTGTGAAAACACCCCTGGCGGCTCCCCTCAGGGGTGCTGAAACCAGCGCCCCGCCTGAGACATCCTCAGAATCTGCTCTGAAAGCAAAGGATGTTGGGCATGAAAACGAGCAAACCGCCTGAGACATCCCCACAAACTGGCCGCGAACGGGCCCGTGAAACCACCCCTGGCGGCTCCCCTTGCGAGTCTGAGTATGACTAGGTCTGAATATGAGTAGGTCTCAGTCCGTGCGTTGAGCAACTCAGACTATGAGAAGGTCTGAGTATGTGTAGGTCTGAGTCTGAGTAAGTCTGTGTATGAGCAGGTCTGGGAACGAGTCTGGGTATGAGTAAGTCTGGGTATGAAGGAGTCCCAGCATGAGTAAGTCTGAGTATGAGTAGGCCTGCATGTTGTGTGTTGAGTAAGTCAGACCATGAGAAGGTATGAGTATGAGCAGGTCTGAGTATGAGTAAGCCTGTGTATGAGTAGGTGTGTTCTCTCTGGAATCGGAGGCGTCCGAGTAATAACAATAACCCCATCTTAGGATATGGGAGAAAGCGTGATCCACCGCCGTTTTACTGTGGAAAATTGCCAACCTTTTCCTCCGGAACCCGGGGGTCTCCCCCCCCCTCCCTCCGAAAATCCCCCCCCCCCTGCCGGACCCCCCCCCACCCCCCCCCCCCCCCCCCCCCCTCCCTCCGGCAAAACCCCCCCCCCTCCCTGACCCCTTCCCCCCCCCCCCCTCCCCCTCGAAAACCGGGGGGGGGTCATACCGGTTCGAAACTCCCCCCCCCCCCCCCCCCCCCCCCCTCCGGATCCGGAAAACCGGGGGGGGTCACTACCGGTTGGACCCCCCCCCCCCCCCCCCTCGAAAACCGGAGGGGGATCACTACCGGTTCGACCCCCCCCCACGCACCGCCAGCAAACGACTCCCGGTCCCTACCACCGCTCGCATCACATCCCCCACTGTTGTTCCCAGCACCACTGTCCTCACCACCACTGTCCCCACTGGTTCCACCACCGTCCCTATTGTCCCCACCAATGCCCCCACCACTGTCGCACTGTCCCCACTGTTCCCACAACTGTTCCCACCACGGTTCCACTCTCCCCACTGTCTCCACGGACCCAACCACTGCCTATCCCCATTGTCCCCACTGTCCCACTGACTCCTCCGCTGTCCCACTGAGCTGTCCCACTGTTTCCACCACTGTCCCCACTGTCCCCACCACTGTCCCCACTGTACCTCTGTCCCATTGTCCCACCGCCGTCCTCGCCACCGCCTTTACCAGTGTCTCCACCACCATTGCACCCTCCACTGTCCCAGTGTTTCCACCTCATTCCCACTGTCCCCACACCACTGTCCCCACCACCACCGTTCCCACCACTGTCCACTGTCCCCCCTGTTCCCACCATTGTCCCCACCACTGTCCCCACCACTACCGTCCCCACCACTGTCCCACTGTCCCCCCACTGTCCCCACCACTGTCCCGCTGTCCCCTCACCACTGTCCCCACCAACACCGTCCCCACCACTGTCCGCACCCCCACTCGGTTTTCGAGGGGGGGGGGGGGGTTCGAACCGGTAGTGACCCCCCCCCTTTTCATGATGAGCTGGGGGGGGGGGGGGCGGGTTCGAACCGGTAGTGACCCCCCCCGGTTTTCCGGAGGGGGGGGGGGAGGGGGTCGAACCGGTAGTGACCCCCCCCCGGTTTTCCGCCAGCAGCGGTAGAACACGCTCTTTCGGATATGATGAACGAAAATCTGGACCGAGGTGTTTCGCCGTTTTCGGCCTCTGGGGGCCCTCGCCAGGCCCCGGGATTGTCAAAAAGCCATGCAGGGCGAAAAACCGGTCCCGGGGAAAGAGTCGGGACTTCAGGGACGCCGTGCTGAAAAAATCAGGACGTCGCATGTCTGGGTTCACATGCGCCAGGAGTGTTCGCCCGATGTGGGGCTCAGGGGGCATCACAGGTCGATCGCGCTCGAAAGATGCAGCGCCAAGACAGGGTCCAGGGCTCTGATCGTCAATTCTCGGTGTGTTGCGGTCTTATTCGCAACGTCGCATCTCAGAGGAGGGGGAGCAGGAATGGAGAGGATGTGGGGGGGACGAAAATGAGGGCGGTGAGGAAGGGGAGAAAGAGGAGGAGGAGGAGGAGGAGGAGGAGGAGGAGGAGACGAGGAGGAGGGAGGAGGAGGAGGAGGAGGGAGGAGGGAGGAGGAGGAGGAGGAGGAGGAGGAGGAGGAGGAGGAGGGGAGGAGGAGGAGGAGGAGGAGGAGGAGGAGGAGGAGGAGGAGGAGGAGGAGGAGGAGGAGGAGGAGGAGGAGGAGGAGGAGGAGGAGGAGGAGGAGGAGGAGAGGAGAGGAGGAGGAGGAGGAGGAGGAGGAGGAGGGGGCGACGAGGAGGAGGAGGAGGAGGAGGAGGAGGAGGAGGAGGAGGAGGAGGAGGAGGAGGAGGAGGAGGAGGAGCAACATCAAGCTAACCACCCTCCCAGAAAGCACCTAGGCAAATCGAGGCCTTCCGCAAAGGCACCTCTGACGCAGGGAGACATCGACCACAGGGCAGGGCCACGCCCAGCACCCAGGACTGCACAGCTGAGCAAACGGCAACAAATTAAAGAGGAGGAGGAGGAAAAAAAAAAAAGAGGAGGGGTCGGGGTGGCCTCCCGCTTCCCAGACACCCGACGTCATGATTTGGTCAACAATGTGGACCCCCCAGCAGTGTATTCCCCGGGGCCGCTCCTCATCCTGCAGCCGTTTTGTCGACGGTCCTGGGGCCTGGCGAGGGCCCCCCAAAGGCCGAAAGAAATAACAAACCGTCCGTCGTGACTTCGACCGTCTCGGAGCCGCAGGCGAGACTCGAGACACCGGCGGCTCGAAGTCGGTCCCCGAACCCCTCCCGCGGTCCAGGCGCACCAGCTTTCCAAGCTGCCCGGAGCTGTAGCCGGGGACACAGACATGGATCGCGTTTCGGGGGCGTAGCCGTAGCGTAGGAAGGGTTCGCTTTTCGGGGGCGCGTAGACATGGATTAACGATCCATGCATTCGGCGCACGGTCGCCAAATCCGTGGATCGGGGGAGATGCCCTCCCCAAAATGCGGCAGGTGCCGCCTCGTTCGGCGGCGGAAATCCGCGGTGTCCCATGGCAATGGGACCCGCCGCCAATCCACGCCCCCTTGATCCATGTTTGCGATCGCCTGAGCTTCCCTCCGAGTGAGGCGAAGATCGGTCCCCGTTGTTTGTTTTCGGGTTCTGCCTCGGGTCTGCCGCGGCCGATCTGGGCGATCCGAGCATCCGCAGCACGCTCTCGGCGAAGCGCAGCTGCGGGGGGGGCGCCCCGAGGCCAGAAAACCGCCGAGAACCAGCGATAACGCCCGAACACCTGTAGCTTACTAACCTTGCCATCCTCGGACTTTCCTCCCTCGACGACGAGGAGGAACGGAGGATAAGGAGGAAGAGGAGAATGAGGATGAGGACGAGGACGACGATGAGGATGAGGATGCGGAGGAGTACTTGGAGGGCGAAGGAGGAGGAGGAGGAGGAGGAGGAGGAGGAGGAGGCGGAGGAGTACTTGGAGGGCGAAGGAGGAGGAGGAGGAGGAGGAGGAGGAGGAGGAGGAGGAGGAGGAGGAGGAGGAGGAGGAGGGGGGGGGGATGGCCCTCGGCTCCTCCAGCGCCCTCTCGACCACGCTGGCCTCGGGGTCCGCGGCCAGGGGCAGGACGCCCTCCGCCCAGAGGCGGCAGGCCTCGGGCGAGGCCCCCGCGCGCAGCAGCGCCGAGAGGCCCGAGACCGCCGCCCGGCGCACGAGCACGGAGTCGTCGTTGGCCAGGTGGCCCAGCAGCTCCTGCCGCTGGACTTCTGCCCCTCCTCCTCCTCCTCCTCCTCCTCCTCCTCCTCCTCCTCCTCCTCCTCCTCCTCTCCTCCTCCTCCTCCTCCTCCTCCTCCCCCCCTCCTCGCGGCGCCCTGGGGCACGGCAGGCCCGCGCTCGGCCCTCCCTGCGAGGGGGGGCAGCGAGGAGGAACAAAAAGGCCTCCTCGCAGGGCGGCGGGGTCCTGTTGCCGACGTGCTGCGGCGGATTGCTGCGCGGACTTCGGCCCGAGGCGGCGAGCGGAAAAAACACGAGGCGAATCTCGCGTGGATGTTTGTTGGTCTTCATTCCTGGCCAACGAGATCCGAGCGAGCTTCACTTCGAAATCCCGAGCGGGATTCTCCAGGACTCTCCGGGCGCATCCTATGGTTTTCCGAACGAAATCCGCTCTGCGATGTTGGCGCCATGACTCCTGACGAAAAAAACATGCAGGGAGATCAGCCCCAGACATGGTCGCGTCGCTAATTGGGCCTCGATTGGGGCCCTTGCCGGGCCCCCGGGGCCGCCAAGAGACGACGCAATATGAAAAGCCGGTCCCGGGGAAAGGGTCGGGACTTCCGCGGACGGCGCTCTGGAAAAACAAGAAGTTGAATGCCTGGGACTGCAGAAGTGATTCGCCCCCAAAATGCCGTGTTGTTCGCCGAGTCTACGAGGTGTACGTAAGATGGTCGTTGCTTCACCAGGCTGCTACGAGACTTCTACGTGGGTGGGTCGCGGGTGAGTCGCGGGTGGGTCGCATGGTGGGTGGCGGGGTGGCACTCTCGATCAAAAAACTGGTCCTCGGGAAGTGGTCGAGAGGTCAAGCAGCTCCTGGGGTTAAGTCGGGCCTGTCCCCCTACAGGGAGATTTTCGAGGAAAAATTAAAAATAGACAGAAAATGCTAAAACGATCGTCCCCATATTATTTGTTTGACTATTTTTGAATATTCCTCCTGTAGAGGGACAGGCCCGACTTAATCCTGGGGCACTGGGGCGATAACGACGTCATGATGCGACATGCTCGCCTCGGGGAAAAAAAACAGGTCGGGAAGCTTCTGGCCGTTTCTGGCCTCTGGAGGCCCTCGCTGGGCCCAAGGATTAGGTCGGGCCTGTCCCCCTACAGGGGGATTTTGGACGAAAATTGAAAATACCCAACCAATACTAAAAGGATGCCCAACAATACTAAACAAATAGTCCCCATACTATTGTTTTACTATTTTTGAATATTCCCCCTGTAGCGGGACAGGCCCGACTTAACCCAAGGACTGTCAAAAAACGACTCGGTACGAAAAAACTGTCGTCGGAAAGGGGTCGGGACTTGCAGGCACCCCGTGCTCAACAAAAACAGCCCATCGCATGTTGTTGGCCAGGTGCCCCAGCAGCTCCTGGGCTGAGGGTCCAGAGCGGGAAATCGAGTTTTCGGACGTGTTCGTCGGTTGCCTGAGGTTCCCTGAGGCGTGCCAGCCTCGGGGTGCTCCCCAGCAGCTTCGCCCCGTCGAGGGCGTTCCAAGGGCGCCTCGCCCCGAACGGCCGCTGGGGGCCCGAGGGCCCCCCCAAGAGCTGGCCGAGTGGAGACACTGAGGTGCGTCGCAATTTTGGTTGCGCCGGGCGGTTTGGCCCAATCTCGGGCCCTGGGGCACTCGCAGATCCATCGGGCTCGAGCAATGCAGAAGGAAGATGGGGTCTGTAGGGCTCCAATCGTGATGTCTCAACGGGTACGTTCCAGAACATCTCGGACACATCCGGCGATCCCGGGCTCCTGGAGCCCGCGTGGAGCATCAGGAGATCTGGGGAACTCTTAGAAAGCACTGGAAATCCTGGAGCCCATCGTTATCATGGCTTCTTGCTCCTCTGAGTCAAGGGCGTTCAAGGGGGGGGCGTCCAAGAGGGTGAAGAGGAGGAGGAGGAGGAGGAGGAGGAGGAGGAGGAGGAGGAGGAGGAGGAGGAGGAGGAGAGGGGGAGGAGGAGAGGAGGAGGAGGAGGAGAAGGAGGGGGGTTCACAAATCATGGCCCGAGGCACGTGCCCGGCCCGGGCGGGGCCAGGCGACGTACAGCGGAGGCCGGTCCACAAGAAACCTTCCACGAGAAGCCCAGCCGGGAGACCCCAGGGCGTCCATTGATTTTCTGGCGGAGGAGGAGGAGGAGGAGGAGGAGGAGGAGGAGGAGGAGGAGGAGGAGGAGGAGGAGGAGGAGGAGGAGGAGGAGGAGGAGGAGGAGGAGGAGGAGGAGGAGGAGGAGGAGGAGGAGGAGGAGGGTGATTTTGGCGTGGGAGCGTCGCGCTTTGCATCGAAGAACCATCGGAATCCAAGAAGCCCCAAAAAAGCACCCTGGAGGCAAGCAGGGTGTTTCTCGGCACGGGTCTCCACTGCATTGAAGAAGGAGGACCCCGACTCTGGCCCCGCCGTACTTTTGGCGATTGCGAGAGTAGAGCGGGAATTTCTGCCCTACTGTTCACACGCCTTTGATGCCCATTTCCGCCCCACTTTGCCGCCGCTGTTTCCGCCATGCGCTTGCGGAAAGATCGGCCCCGACCTTCCCGAGGCGGAGACCTCCGCCCTACTGGTTCGCACCGTTTGGGGTGAATTTCGGAGACGGCTCTCAATCGACAAATCAAACAACGCATGGCGGATGCGGTCGGGAACTTCTGTAGCGGTCGAGAACCAATCCCGCCATGCTACGGCGGCGGCCCCGGCGACAGCGTACGTATGCTTTGCGAGCGGAAATAGCGCGACGAACCCGCGGAGCGGGATGCCGGGAACGGCTGACGCTGGGGGACCAGGACGAGGACAGCGTGTCGCGCTCCGCGCTCCTCCTCCTCCTCCTCCTCCTCCTTCTCCTCCTCCCTTTCCTCCTCCTCCTCCCTTTCCTCCTCCTCCTCCTCCTCCTCCTCCTCCTCCTCCTCCTCCTCCTCCTCCTCTTCCGACATCCTCCTCCTCCTCCTCCGTCTTCTCCTTTCTTCCTCCTCCTCCTCCTCCTCCTCCTCCTCCTCCCTTTCCTCCTCCTCCTTCTCCTATCCTCCTCCTCCTCCCTTTCCTCTTCCTACTCCTTCCTCCTTCTCTCCTCCAACTCCCTCCTCCTCTTCTTCCGCGCCTCACCTTCACCCCTCCTCCTCCTCCACCTCCTCCTTCTCTCCTTCTTCCTCCTCCGTCCTCTTCCTCCTCCTTCTCCTCCTCCTCCTCCCTCCTCCTCCTTCATCCCTTTCCTCCTCCTCCTGCTCTCCCCTCCCCCTCCTCCTTCTCCCTTTCCTCCTCGCTTCCGTCCTCCTCTTCCTCCACCTCCTCCCTTTCCTCCTCCTCCTCCTTCTCGCCTCCTTCTCCTTCAACCTCCTTTCTCCCTTTTCTTTCCTCCTCTCCTCCTCATACCATCTCTCCTCCTACCTCCTGGCTCCCTTTCCCTCTCCTCCTCCTCCTCCTCCTCCTCCTCCTCCTCCTCAGCCTCCTCCTCCTCCTCCTGCCCCCCTTCTCCTCCTCCTCCGGTCTCTCTTCCTCCTTCCCTCTTTGTCCTCCTCCTCCTCCTTCCTCCGCCTCCTCCTCCTCCTTCCCGTTTCCTCCTCCTCCTTCTCCTCCTTCTCCTCCTTCGCCTCCTCCGCCTCCTTCTCCTCCTCCTACCTCCTCCTCCTCCTTCCGCCTCCTTCTCCCTTTCCTCCTCCATCGTTCTCCCCCTCCTCGCTTCTCCGCTTTCCTCACTCCTCCTCCTCCTCCACCCTCCTCACCTTTTCCTCATCCTCTCCTTCTCCTCACCTCCCTCCTCCTCCTCCCAGCTCCCTTTTTCCTCCTACCTCCTCCTGCTCCGCCCTTCTCCTCTCCTCCTCCTCCTCCTCCTCCTCCTCCTCCTCCTCCTCCTCCCTTTCCTCCTCCTCCTTCTCCTCCTTCTCCTCCTCCTCCTGCTGCTCTTCCTCCTCCTCCTACTCCTCCTCCTCTCATCCTCCCTGGAGCGTGGCCGGCCAGAGCAGGCGGAGCGACACGGGAAGCCCCGTCAGCTCCAGCGGCACGCCCCATCCTGGCCACCCCTGGTCTTCACCCCTCGGGTGTTGCTAGCAGTGCCCCTGGCCCAAGGTGCTCCCCCAGGACTTCCAAGGAGGTCCCCACGGCCTCCAGGGCACCCCTCGCGAGGCCCAGAGGGCCCCAGGGCCTCCGAACACGGAGCGAAAAGCTTGGGGCACCTTGGGCCAGGGGTACCTCTAGCAACCCCCGAACCCCCCGCTTGGCCGCCCCCCGTCGGTGCCTCCGGCGCCGCCCTGGGCGCGCTCCGCGCGCCAGGGAGGGGGGTCCAAGCGCAGACCCAAGATATCCGCGCGCAGCTCTGACAGTTTATGCTCACGTCATGTGCCATGAGATCTGGGAAATACAAACACTTTTGGCGGTCGCGGCCTCGCGCGCAGCGACGACGCGGAGTAGGTCGAAGAGCGGCGGGAGCGAGCGCGGGCAGCTGGGCCCTCAGGTGGGATCGCCTGGGATCGCCGCGCATGCCACCAGATGGGTGGGCAGCCATAGCCATCTGGGCGAGGAACACTGCCCGCCACGCGAGCGTCCAACTCACACACACAGATGCCCTGATCTGTCAATACGCGGTCCCCGGAACTCCCGACCCCTTCCCTGGGGCCGGCGTTTCCTCCTGAGTCGTTTCTTGACGGTCCCTGGGCCTGGCGATGGCCTTCAGAGACCGAAAACGATGACCAACCTCCGTCCTGACATTTTTTACCACGCGATCCTGTCTGGGCTGATAGCCCCCGAACTAGTGATCAACGCCCGAGAAAACCTCGAGAGCCTCGAACCCGAAAGCGCCGACGTGCGAGGGCCTGTCGCTGCGCGAGAGCCTGGCGTGGCCGGCCGCAGCCTGGGCGCTGCAGGAGGAATCGGGCGGTGCCAAGGGCCAGAGGAGGAAAAAGTACCGCTGCCGCTGCCCTGCCCCGGCTTTTCCCTTCTGTGGGGGCCTCCTGGGAGGCCCTCGTCGCCACTCCTCCTCCTCCTCCTCCTCCTCCTCCTCCTCCTCCTCCTCCTCCCTGCTCCTCCTCCTCCTCCTCCTCCTCCTCCTCCTCCTCCTCCTCCTCCTCCTCCTCCTCCTCCTCCAGCTCCTGCTCCTGCTCCTCCTCCTCCTCCTCCTCCTCCTCCTCCTCCTCCTCCTCCCTCCTCCCTCCTCCCTCCTTCCTTCCTCCTCCCTCCTCCCTCCCCCCTCCTCCCTCCTCCCCCGAGCGGTGCTCCAGCGGCAGGCCCTCGGCGTGGCCCGGCCCGCGCGCCAGCGCGGGCGCGCGCAGCCACTTCTCGAGAAGGCCGAGCGCGGCGCGGCGCACCCACGCCTCCGCGGATCTCCGACGGCGCGTCTCTTTCGCCGCCGCCGCCGTCAAGGTCCTCAGCCTCCTCCTCCTCCTCCTCCTCCTCCTCCTCCTCCTCCTCCCTCCTCTCCTCTCCTCCTCCCTTTTTCTCCTCTTCTTTTTTCCCCTCCTCATCCTCCCTCCTCCTTTCCTCCTTCCTCCTCCTCCTCCTCCTCCTCCTTTCCTCCCTCCCCTCCTCCTCCTCCTCCTCCTCCTCCTCCTCCTCCTCCTCCTCCTCCTCCTCCTCCTCCTCGTGCAGTCACAGCCCCCGATCTCCGACGGTATGATGTCTTCGCCGTCGACGTCGTCGCCGTCGTCGCCGTCGTCGTCGATCGACAGAGGATCGATCGATCGACGTTCGAGGCTCGAGGCTTTCGGGCCTCTTCGGGCCTCGGGCGGCCCCGCGGCTGAATCCGCCCCGAAATTCTGGCCAGAACGCGCCTTGGCAGAGGCCTGTGGGTCGGTCAGTCGTGGCCGTCGTCGTCGTCCTCCTCCTCCCCTCCTCCTCCTCCTCCTCCTCCTCCTCCTCCTCCTCCTCCTCCTCCCCCTCCTCCCCCTCCTCCCCCTCCTCCTAATCCTCCTCCTCCTCCTCCTCCTCCTCCTCCTCATCCTAGTGCTCCTAGTGCAATCATAACCCCCGATCTCCGACGAGATGATTCTTCGGTCCCGTCGTTTCGCCTCGATCTCGTCTCGCAGGGCGGCGTGTTCTGTGCTCCGAGGCTCGCCTCCCGTCGCCGCGACCGGTCTGCCCTCTCAAGAATGTCCTGGCAAGAGCGCAACCCTGCATGGGTCTGGGGGGGGGCCAGGGCTCGAGTTAAACAGTGTTTTCCGTTTTCGTGTTGTTTTCGTCATCCCTAGTTCTATATTCGTTCCACATTTGCTGCAAAACGAAGTCGAAACGAAAACGGTCCACGAAATTGCCAAAACACCGTTTAGCTCGAGCCCTGGGGGGGGCGGATGCGTGACCCCGACCTCCGACGATGTGATGCTTTTCAGTCCGATCCTCGTGGCGAAGATTCGGTGACGTAAAGTGCGTGTGGCGCAGTTGTATCGTAGCGGCTCTCGCAATGAAGCGCTCCGTGGCTGCGTGGCCCAGCGCGCTGAGCACGCGAGGCTGCGTTGGGGGCTGGCAGGGAGCCCCCCAGGGCCAAGGCACTGTGGAAGACCTCTCCTCCCCTCCATTCCGACCCCGACCTCCGACGATGAGATGTCTTCCGGTCCGACCTCCAGACGATGAGATGATCCTCGGCCCGAGCGGCGTTCCTCGCCGTCGGCCCTCCTGCGCACCCAGACCCCCGACGTCGTGATTTTTTCGCAACGTCGACCCCCAGAGGTCTGGACCCCTTCCCCGGGACCGGCTCTTCATCCCGAGTGGTTTTTTGACGGTCCCGAGGCCCGGTGAGGGCCCCTTGAGGCCGAAAGCAGCGAAAAACCTCCCGCCGTGCTTTTTTCACAGCGCGAGGGGCTCCTGCGCAGGCGGCCGTCGTCTGGCCACCGTCGGGGCGCGCTTCCGCGACCTCGGCCCTCTTGTGCGGGGGGGGGGGGGGCGGCCGCCGTCGCGCCCTCGAGAGCACGGCGGGGGCCGCGGGCTCCGGGGCCGCAGACTGGAGAAGTCGTGGCTCGGCGGATGTCTGGGTTCCCAGACCCCTCTCGCGCTGTGACAAAAATCACGACGGGAATTTTGTTCGCTACCTTCGGCCTTCGGGGGCCCTCACCGGGCCTCGGGACCGTCAAAAAACCGCCCGGGAGGAAGAGCCGGTCCCCGGGGAAGGGGTCCAGACCTCCGGGGGCCGACGTTGCGAACAAAAATCACGACGTCGGGGGTCTGGGTTTGGGTGGCAGCAAGGTGCCGACACCGCTGCTCCCCCGGACCTCTCCCAGGGTGCGTTCGGGCCAGACGTTCGAGGAGAAGATCCCGCCGTGGTGGCGAGGCCTCGGAGGGCGCGCAGCCCCTGAGATCCGACGCGGGGAGAAAATGCCACGCAGCGCCGCGGATCGCGACTGGAGCCCTGGGCACCATCTTTCTGCGGCATGTTTCGAGCCAGATCGATCGATCTATGACGGCCCCGGGGCCCAAAATTGAGACAAACCCACCCGTTGTGGACAAACTGCAACGCCCCAAACCTCAGGGTCGGCACCCTGACTTCTGATCCGCCGAACTTTCGTGGATCTTCCCACGCTGAAGATTTCGTCGAAACTGCACGCCTAAAGATGCGAAGCCCATCGAACAGATAGGGTGGAAACGTGGTCATCAAAGGAGTGGTAAACATTGGGGGCGGAGACTCCCGCCCTGCCTACGACATTGACCAAAGATCGGTGGATCCGGAGTCAGGGCCAGAATGAGGAAGGGGGCCGAACGGTCATCCACTGCGACTGGGCGCGTGGCTGAAGTCGGGTTGAGCGATGCGGTGTTTTGTTGCGCTGTGGTTGTCATCGTCCTCGCCCCCGACCCCCCCGCGAACCCCCGCGAACCCTACCGCGACCCAGCCCGCGACCCAGCCCGCGACCCAGCCCGCGACCCACCCGCGACCCACCTGCGACCCACCCCGCCCCCTCTGACCCAGACGTGCGACGTCCTGCTTTTTTCAAAACGACGGCGTCCCTGGAAGTCCCGACGCGACGTCCTGATTTTTCAGGACGACGGCGTCCCTAGAAGTCCCGACCCGTTCCCCGGGACCGGCTTTTCACCCTGGGGCCGAAAGTCGGCAAAAACCTCCCGTCCCTGAGATCCGACGTTGCAATAAAATTGCCGCATCGGGAAACCCAGACCCCCGACGTAATGATTTTTTCATTACGTCGACCCCCAGAGGTCTGGACCCTTTCCCCATGACCGGCTCTGCATCCCGAGTCGTTTTTTGACGCTCCCGAGGCCCGGTGAGGGCCCCCGGAGGCCGAAAATTAGGAAAAACACCCCGTCGTGATTTTTTCATTACTCGAGGGGGTCTGGGAAGATTGCCGCATCGGGAAACATCGCGCCCGGAGACCCGGGCCCGATCTTTCTGCGCGTCCGTTTTCGGGCCGGATATCGCTATATGTGAGGGCCCCGGGGCCCGAACTTTTCGGCGAGACCCTGGCAGACAAAACTAAAGATACTGGCAGTGTCTATCTTCCCAGACCCCCTCGAGTAATGAAAAAATCATGACGGGAGGTTTTTCCCAATTTTCGGCCTCTCGGGGCCCTCACCGGCCCTCGGGAGCGTCAAAAAACGACTCAGGACGAAAAACCGGTCCAGGGGAAAGGGTCCGGACCTCTGGGGGTCGACGTCATGAAAAATTCATGACGTCGGGGGTCTGGGGTGCGCGCCTGCTGTGGCGAAGCCGCGGCGCATCTGAGTCGGAGCGCGCGAAACGCGAGTCTATTTTTTTTGTTGCTTTGATATGCAAATCGTGCGACCAGATGAAAAGACACACCGGCGTGACACAATGGCAACGCCAGGATCTCCGAGGCCCCGATTTGTTTACGCCGCGATCGCGATCCCAGACCCCCGACGTAATGATTTTTTCATTACGTCGACCCCCAGAGGTCTGGACCCTTTCCCCATGACCGGCTCTGCATCCTGAGTCGTTTTTTGACGCTCCCGAGGCCCGGTGAGGACCCCTGGAGGCCGAAAATCAGGAAAAACCTCCCGTCATGATCTTTTCATTACTCGAGGGGGTCTGGGATCCTGTCTGGGTATCTCTCCCTCCTCTGCAGCCTTCTCGTCCGTCGCGGCGGCGCGGAAGAGGCCCGGCAGGTCGAGGCGCCCGGCCCGGGCCGGGGGGGCCAGGCTGGCCCGCAGTACCCCGAGGCCCTCCGGGTACGCCGGCAGCACCTCGAGGCCCGGACCCCCTCGCGCTGTGAACAAAATCGCGATTTCGCCACTTTCGGCCTCAAGGGGCCCTCACCCCAGACCCCCGACGTCATGATTTTTTCATTACGTCGACCCCCAGAGGTCTGGACCCTGTCCCCATGACCGGCTTTGCATCCTGAGTCGTTTTTTGACGCTCCCGAGGCCCGGTGAGGGCCCCCGGAGGCCGAAAATTGCGAAAAACCTCCCGTCATGATTTTTTCATTACTCGAGGGGGTCTGGGACTGGGCCTCGGGACCGGCAAAAAACGACTCGGGATGAAGAGCTCGTCCCCGGGGGAAGGGGTCCAGACCTCTGGCGGTCGACGCTGTGACAAGAATCGCGACGTCGGGGGCCTGGGGGAGACGCGCCGTGGCGAAGCAAAACAAAACAAAAGGCCTCCTCGAAGCATGCTCGAGACTTAGATTTAGGTCGGGCTTGTCCCCCTACAGGGGGATTTTCGACGAAAACTAAAACATAACCAAAAAAAAGCCCCCCCAAAAAGGTAAACAATACGCAAAAATAGGCCCCAGACTGTTTTTGGATCATCTTTGGACCATTTTGGGCGGATTTCTTTCGTCGACAATCCCCCCGTAGGGGGACAGGCCCGCCTTAAACCTAGATCCGACGCTACGGCAGGTTCGTGTCGTGCCGACCCCAGCGTTGGTTTCTGACACCGCGCTGGATCGTTCAACCTTGAACGATCGGCCGCTGCCGCAACGCCCGAACGTTCCACATCGACCGATTCTGGGTCGCTGGCGGCGTTCAACCTTGAACGCCCGCGCTGGGGTCCCAGACCCCCGACGTAATGATTTTTCACTACGTCGACCCCCAGAGGTCTGGACCCTTCCCCCATGACCGGCTCTGCATCCCGAGTCGTCTTTTGACGCTCCCGAGGCCCGGTGAGGGCCCCCGGAGGCCGAAAATAGCGAAAAACCTCCCGTCGTGATTTTTTCATTACTCGAGGGGGTCTGGGGTCGCCGCTGGTCGACACGACGCAAACCTACCGTACGACTGCTGTTCCGTCCCGGCGTGGCTCCTCGGCGTTTCGCCCTCCGGGGGCCCGCCCTCGGGCACGAGAGCCGTCGAGAACGGATCCGGAGGGGGAACCACCCCCCAGGGGGAGGAGGAGGAGCAGGAGGAGGAGGAGGAGGAGGAGGAGGAGGAGGAGGAGGAGGAGGAGGAGGGGGAAGGAGGGGGAGAGAGGAGGGGAGGAGGAGGAGGAGGAGGGAGGAGAGGAGGAGGAGAGGAGGAGGAGGATGAGGAGGAGGAGGGAGGAGGAGGAGGAGGAGGAGGAGAGGAGGAGGAGGAGGAGGAGGAGGAGGAGGAGGAGGAGGAGGAGGAGTGGTCAGGGGCTCTGGGGCTCTGGGGCCGCGGGGGGGCGGACGAAGCCACGTCGGCGGATGTCTGGGGCCACCAAATCGACCCCTCCTGCCCTGATTTCGGATCCGCTGTCTTTTTTTGTTGAGGGATGAAACAGCGACCCTACCCTGGGTTACCAAGTGCGCGGTCTGTAAACCTCCTCCTGGGAACCCCCAAAGCCTGGAGCCGCCAGGACGCGGCACATGACGCAGGGTTTACCCTGTCAGCCCACAGGAGTTTCAGCGCACAGCGCCTCGTAAACCAGGGTAGGGGCGTTTTTTTTCTGCCCTTGATTTTTGGCGATTTCGCAAGCAGGGCGGAAATGTCAGCCTCAGTCCAAGCTCTTTTGAAGTCCATTTCCGCCCTTCTTTGCCGTCGCTGTTGCCGCCATGCCTCTGCGGCATGTCCGCACCTAATTCTCCGCGGCGGAAGTATCCGCCCTACCGTTTCGCATCGTGCGGGGTGCATTCCCGAAACAGCTTCAAATATGAAAACCATCCAAAATACTACGAATCCGAAGTCAGGGCAGATCTGAAACCTGGTAAAGAAACCTCCAGGGCGAAAACATTGCAACGCCTGCGTGAGGATACGTCATGGATCTATCCGAGAATCGGCGGAGTCGGGCGCCAGGGCCGTTCCAGAGCGTTCCAGAACGCCCAGAAAGCGTTACGTAACGCTCTGGAACGATTCAACATCTTCGTCCTAGCCCCGCCCCATACAGCCCGCTTGTTATTCAAGCTTGCTTTCAAACCGGAGGGGCCTGTAATGGTCCAGAGGCCCGAAACTGCGGAAACCACAAGTTACGGATACCGCTGCTCCCCAGACTTCTCCCGGGGTGCGTTCTGACCAGGACTTCGAAGCGCAGCCAGCGGCGGCGACGAGGGCCTCCCAGAGGCCCCACCAAAAGGGGGAAACGAGGGAGGGGTAGCGGCATGGGCACCTTTCCCTCCTCCGAAAAGCCGGGCAACGACGCCCGGTGTACAAAAGACGTTGCAGCGCTGGGATCTCATAGGGCGACGAGATGTGTACCCAGACATGATCGCGTCGTACAAAAATCAGGACGAAGGTTCGTCGCTGTTTTGAACCCCTGGGGGCCCTCGCCGAGCCTCGGGGCCGTCAAAAAACGACTCAGGACGAAAAAACGGTCCTGGGGAACGGGTAGGGACTTCGGGGGCCGCCGTCCTGAAAAAGGCAGGACGTCGCATGTCTGGGTTCATATGCGCTGATCCCTGGCCACGCCCCTCCTGAGCCCAGCAGCGGTGTATACGCCGCGTCCTCCTGGCTTGGCCAGGAGGGTGTATGCACAGCTGCTGGGCCTGGCCAGGGAGTAATGGACATGTACCCAGACACGCGACGTCCTGATTTTATCCGGACAGCGTCCCTGGAAGTCCCGACCCTTTCCCCGGGACCGGTTTTTCGTCTTCAGTCGTTTTTTCGAAGGGGCCCTGGGCCACACAAACAAATTCACACACACATTTAAAAACGATTCCCCATATTTTCTCGGATTTTCTGGGCTTTCGTCTCCCCCCCCACTTCCCCTATTTTCCCATCTTCGCCTGGGGATCGACGATTCCTTGTGTCTGTGTGTCTTTGGGCCCCTCTCCTGAGTTTGGACGGCCCCGAGGCCCGATCGAGAGAGCCTCCATGAGGCCGAGAACACGAGGAAAAACGCCTCCGCCCCGGCATGCTTTATAAACGACGCGAGCACGCCCGGGCGCCCAGAGATCCCACGTACTGAAAAAATCAGGACGGCGATTTTTCGCAATTTTCGGCCTCCAGGGGTCGACGCAATTTCGGAATTTTCGGCCTTTTGTTTCTGAATTTCGGAATTTTCGACGCAATTTCGGATTTTTTCGCAATTTTCGGCCTCCAGGGGTCGGCACCCAGAGATCCAACGTACTGAAAAAATCTGGACTAGAGGAAAGAGAACTATGCACATACACCGATTCTGGCCAGGCCCACCCTGAGGCCAGGATCGGTGCATGCGCCCTCCTGCCTTGGCCAGGAAGGCACATGCACCGATCCTGGGTCAAGGATGGGCCTTGCCAGGATCGGTGCATGTGCATAGCTCTCTTCGCCCGGAGGACGGCGATGTTTCGCAATTGTCGGCCTCTATGGGGTCCTCGCCAGGCCGCGGGACCGCCAAAAAACGACTCCGGATAAAAAAAAAACGGTCCAGCGGAATGGGTCGAGACCTCCAGGGGTCGACCGCAAATGAAAAAATCGTGACGTCGGGGGTCCGGGTATCGATCTCGCCGCCGCCCGCTCTCGGGGCACCTCCAGCGCCGCGGCGACGCCCCCCAGCGCCCTGCAGCGGACGCCCGGGGCCGCGTCGGCGCAGTGCCGCACCTCGCGGGGGGGGCGGAGCTCAGAGCCGTATAGCCGCGGCCTCGCGGCCCGGGCATCTGGGCCGCGAGGCCCTGCGGATCCGGGGCGCTCCTTCGCGGAGGCGCCGCGCGGAACGCCGGCATCCGTGCGACCGCGTACGGCAGGCTTGCGTCGTGTCGACCCCGGCGTTGGTGCCTGACACCGCGGGGAGCGTCCAAACTGGAACGATCGGCCCTCTCAAGAAGGCCAGCTCGTTCAAGGATGGGCAGATTCTGGGCCAGTAGCGGCGTTCAACCTGAAACGCCCGCGCTGGGGTCGCCGCCGGTCGACACGACGTGAGCCTGCCGTAGCCGCGGGATCCGAAGCACCGCAGCATCGGGAAAGGTCACGGCCGGAGCCCCCGAGCACAGCTTCCGCTGCGTCAATGTCCTCGGAGCCAGATCGCCCTGCGGGGGTCCCCCGGGGCCTGAGGGCTGGCGAGCACGCCCGTTGTAAAAAGCTTGCCACGTCAAGATCCTGAGGGCATCTGCGGGGTGGCGCTCCAGAATCCAGGCCGCGAGGGCGAGGGCACGAACATCGTCGCCGCGCGTGAGGATGGGCAATTTTTCCACCACCGCTACCCATGGGTAGGACGGGGCACAAGGCAGGATGGGGGGGTCCTCCGCGTCCTCCTCCTCCTCCTCCTCCTCCTCCTCCTTCTCCTCCGCCTCCGCCTCCGCCTCCGCCTCCGCCTCCGCCTCCCCCTCCCCCTCCCCCTCCCCCCCTCCCCTCCCCCTCCTCCTCCTCCTCCTCCGCCTCCTCCTCTTCCTCCTCCTCCTCCTCCTCCTCCTCCGCCTCCGCCTCCTCCTCCTCCGCCTCCGCCTCCGCCTCCGCCTCCGCCTCCGCCTCCCCTCCCCCTCCCCCTCCCCCCTCCCCCTCCTCCTCCTCCTCCTCTCCTCCTCTCTCCTCCTCCTCCTCCTCCCTCCTCCCCTCCTCCTCCTCCGCCTCCTCCTCCTCCTCCTCCGCCTGCGCCTCCTCCTCCTCCTCCTCCTCCTCCTCCTCCTCCTCTCCTCCTCCTCCTCCCTCTACCTATGGCAGCGGTGGTAAAAAGTCGGCCCATCACGTGGGCACCAGAAGGCCCAGTAGCCACCCGTCGAGCTCGGCGCGCTCCTGGGCGTTGCCGGCCACGAGCGCCGAGCCCCGCTCGAGCATCAGGGACGAGACCTCCACCGCCAGGGCGCGGTAGGAGGAGGGATGAAAAGGGAGGAAGAGGGTGGAGGGAGGAGGAGGGAGGAGGAGGAGGATGAAAAGGGAGGAGGGAGGACGGAGGAGGGAGGAGGACGGGAGGAGGGAGGAGGAGGAGGAGGAGGAGGGAGGAGGGAGGAGGGAGGAGGGAGGAGGGATGAAAAGGGAAGGAGGGATGAGGGAGGAGGAGGGAGGAGGGGGGGAGAGGAGGGAGGAGGAGGGAGGAGGGAGGAGGGAGGAGGGAGGGAAGGGAGGGAGGGAGGGAGGGAGGGGAGGGAGGGAGGGAGGGAGGGAGGAGGAGGAGGAGGAGGAGGGAGGAGGAGGAGGAGGAGGAGGAGGAGGAGGAGGAAGAGGAGTTCGTAGCCATTTTGGCTCAAGCCGTTGCCCGCCTCGGGGGCGCGGACCCCCCCCGCCCGGCCCCGTCGACACAGGGGTCGAGGGCCCCGCAGCAGGCGACGGGCTAAGCGCGGCACCAGGCGGTGGCCGTCGGGAGCCCGCGAAGAACTCTGCGGCTTCCTGGCGGCGGCTGCGGGGGCGCAGCGGGGGCCGCCAGAGCCCCACTGCCCCCGCCGCCGCCGGCCCTTTTGCATCTGCCAAAAGCTACGAGGACACTGGCCCTGCCGGGCTTGGGCTCAGCAGCGGCTCGGCTGCCGGCGAAACGCCGAGACTACCCACACATCGCGGAGACCACTACGCTGGACTGGCCGATGCGCGCGCTGATCGGCGCACGCTGCTCGGAAGGGGTACCCTCCAGCAGCCCAGGACGTCGCCGTCGTCACGGACGCCGTCCCGGACCCGCACAGCGCCTACGAGCACCGCTACAACCAGGGGAGCCGCGGCTGGAGCCGCGGCTTCTACAACCGCGGCGACCGCAGCTTGCACAAGCAAGGGAGCTACAGCCAGGGGAGCGAGTCGCTTCGAACAAAAAACGCCCACGTTTCCAAAACCGCGGCCTGCCCCCTTGGATGAACATCGAAGTTTGGGGGCGCGGGGGGCGCTCTTGCGCCATCCTCGAGTCGCTGTACTTGGGCGTTGTTGTTCGAAAACGCCGGTTCTGCGGCGACCGGGAGCGCAACGGGTACCGAGGGAACGTCTGCGGCCACCACCAGCACGGCTGTGGGGACGCGCAGACCTCCGGCTGGAGCCACAGCCCCGCTGCGACGAGGGCAAGACCCACTCGCCGCCCCGGCTGGGCGCGGAGCGAAGAGGCCCAGCCTTGCGCAGGGAAGCACCAGCCTCCATCCTGGCCGTGACGCGGCTCACTGGCGAGATCGTGGATCTTCAGAGCACGGCCACCCGCCTTGCCGCGGTGGCCCTGGCGGCAGCGCCGCGCGCGGCCACGACGGCACGACTCGTGGGGACGAGCAGAGGAGGGGGCCGACCCTCCACCGGCACGCTGCAGAAGTCGCCCCAGGGGGCGATCTCGACAGCCTCCCCGTGGTCATAATGCCTGCCCAGAGGCGACGCCGACGAGCGCGCTTTCGCGATCCGAGGGCGGCGCCCACCCGGGCCACAGGCAGCAGGACATTGGGCGGCCAGAAGAGCCACGAGGTGCCGCCGCAGCGGCGCCAACCGTGGGCACCTCCGCAGAGGGAGGGGGGGGGCCCGGGGCGCTCCCGGGGCGCTGGCCCCGGGCGGCCCGAGGACCCACGGGGAGAGCGACCCGAAACGCAACCGACGAGAGCGGCGCCCGCGAGGGAGGGCGGCCGCGACGGGGCCCGCCGCTCCCGCCGTGGGCGCTGCAGGTGGGCAGGGCGACCGCGGCTCCATCCGGGAGCGAGGCGCCAAAAGGGCACGCGCCGCGGGGGGGGGGGGGGGGGCGCGCTCGAGGCGGCGCGGCAGCTCCCCGCGCGCAGGGGAAGGACGACGCCGACCGACGCGCGCAGAGGCCCCCGCCAGCCATCACGGGGCGGTCTCTGGGCGTCCTCCGGGCGGCCAGCCACGGGCCCCCCAGGCGGACGAGGTGGACCACTGCGGGAGCTTGCCGACGGCAGGAGCACCCGCTGCGCCAGGCGGCAGCCACGACGAGGGGCTCCTGCGACACGTGCCGCGGCCTCCATGCTGCAGGGCGATGCAGCCCTCCGCCGCGAGTGCGGCTGGCACCACGTGCCAAGTCAAGCGGCGCATCTCGAGCGCCCTACTCGACGCCCTGAACGGCGCCACCTGACACGGCCACTCGCGATCTGGTCACAGGTGGTGAGCCGCCACTTATGTAAACAACAGCCGGAAACGTGGGATAAGGAGTGCCGCAGGTGGTGAGCCGCAACTCCTATAAACATCGGCCGGAGGCTTGGGTCAGTGAGAGCAGCAGTTCTCTTCACCAGCCACCCAGCCATGCGGGGGGGGCCCTCTTCAGATCACTCTGTTTGTCCACCTCATCTGGCTCGCTATGTATATATATATATATATATACGAGTATAATTTTCATGTATGTATACATACATACATATATATATATATATATATATGTGTATAGACATGTCCTACTGACTCTGCCTCATGTCCGCCTCCAACCGCCAGGCCACTTTGCCGACAGGGCGAGCGCCCGACGCCCCAGGCCCGGCTCTCACCCAGGCCAGGGGCGCCGACTCAACCCTCTTGGCCTCGAAGCACGCCGCGTCCGCGTGCGCACGGGAAGACACCCGCGTGCCGCTACCCTGCACCATAGCTGACGCGTCGCAGCAGGCAGCAGGCAGCAAGCAGCAGGCAGCAGGCAGCAGGCAGCAGGCAGCACGCAGCACGCAGCAAGCAGCAAGCAGCAAGCAGCAGGCAGCAGGCAGCAAGCAGCAGGCAGCAGGCAGCAGGCAGCAGGCAGCAGGCAGCAGGCAGCAGGCAGCAGGCAGCAGGCAGCAGCAGCAGCAGCAGCAGCAGCAGCAGCAGCAGCAGCAGCAGCTGCGTCGAGGCGCACCTCCGGCGACGCCCGCCGAGACCTCGTGCGGCGCAACCTGGCGAGGCCCAGGCTGCCGCGCCCCCCTGGGCCCCGCCTGCGCACCGCCGTATGGGCGGGGCGGCGGGGCGGTCCAGCACTGCGCTGCCAGTCGTCGATGATGGACAGGGACGGGCCGCCAACGGCACGGAGAGAGAGAGAGCGAGAGAGAGAGAGCGGGTGAGGAGGAGGACACTTGCGCCCCCCCCTCCCCCCCCTGCACGGAGGGAACCCCGCCGCGCACGGAAAAGGCCCACTCCAGGTACCCCCCCCTTGCTCTTCCCCCCCTCGGCCCCCCTCTTCCCCCCTCACCCTTTGTTCTTCTGGGGGGGGACGTCGGCTTTTCTGTGTTTGGGGCGGGGGGGGGCCTTATTTTCCTTCTCTCGCCGCCTTCCTCCTTCGCGCTTCGGCTCGGGCCCCTTTGGCCCTCCCACCCCTCTCGGTCCCTCGCCTCCCTGTCTTCGTCTGCCCCCCCGCCCCGCTGGCGCCATGGCCTCGACCAGAAAGGCCGCCTGTGGTTCGCCAGTCTTGTCACACACCCCATCAGGCCCGACGGGCCCTGGGGGTGGAATCTGGCTACTTCAGGATGGCACTATCGCCCATCAGTGGGTCAGCGGGTCAGGGGGAGGAGGAGGAGAAGGAGGAGGAGGAGGAGCAGCAGCAGCAGCAAGAGGAGGAGAGGAGGAGGAGAAGGACAGAGGAGGACGGAGGATGAGGAGTGACGACGCCTCCACCGCCAGGGTACGGTAGGAGGCGCGCTCACACCCCACCAGCTGCTCGAGGAACTCGAAGAAGCGCCCCACGACGTCCTAGTTAAGAGGAAAGGCACAACACACAAACACTCGAAAGTCTGCGCAGAAGTCTTGGATCGGCGATGGATTCCTCCCCCACTCACACCCATGCGCGCGGAGCGCGCCAGGGGCAAAGCCATAGGCGCCGCCAGCGGCGGCCCAGCGCAGATCCGAAACATCCGCACGGACATCCGACAGTTTCTGCTTATACCGATAATCGCGCTTCTGCATATTATGCTTCTCGTTATTTTTAAACTAAATATCAGTATTCCTATTCTTAGTCGTCGCATTATTCTTAGTATTGTCAATAGTATTATTCTTAGTTTTGTAGTTCGCATTACTACTACTACTACTACTACTACTACTACTACTACTACTACTACTACTACTACTACTACTACTACTACTACTACGACGACGACGACGACGACGACGACGACGACGACTACTGCTACTGCTACTGCTACTGCTACTGCTACTGCTACTGCTACTGCTACTGCTACTACTACTACTA